TTCTTTCTTTTTTTTCTTTTCTTTTCTGATTGATCCACAAGCGAGATGAGCTGTTCCTTTTCTTCTTTCTTTCTACTTTTCATCTATTCAAATTTTCTATAAACTTATATACTTATTTTTAATATATCATACTCAATTAAGATATATCACGATATTTGAATTGATTCATTATATATACTTAAATTATTAGAAATCTAAGATTTTTTTTTTCTATCCATTCTCTATGGTTGAATGAACACATTAAATTTGTTTCATTTCTTTTTTTATCTCTTAATTAGTTGAGACTATCATGAAATTTATGATTAGAAGAAAATAAATTCATTTCACACCGAAAAATAAACTATCGGCAATGAACAAACAAACCATTCTGTCAAGATTAACACCATTCAAGCTTCTTGTTTTCTTTTATAATGCAAACATGTTCTTTTGAAATAAAATGATTGCGTAAAAAATTTAATTTAGCTGTTTTTTTTTTCGGGATTTCATCATTAATAGTTTAAATAATGGATTAGAATGATCAATCATACCGGCAATAGTATAGAACTGTCTATTAAAAATGTCAAAGAAAATAATTTTAAAAAAAAGTAACGTTAAATATACCAAGAAAAATCATGAAATAGATTTGATATAAAAAGTCAATTGACAATGAGTTCGAAATATCGTAATTACATCAATATTTCTCTCTATCAATTTACCTAGAAAAAAAAACAATTTTCAAATAAAAAATACCTAATGACATTTACCTACTTATCTTCAATATTTTTTAATTTAACGTTAATTATAGATGAATAAGAAACTCTGATGAGTTGATTGAGCTGTCAAAATGAATATCGTAAAAAGAAAGTGCAGAAAAAATGAAAAATCAATATTTCATATTCGTTAACATCTCAACTGCTTCATTTGTTGTTTTCAATGAGTCAAATCACATATACACATATGATCTATGTGACAAGAAAATTATAAATGGTAAAGATGAGGGTCAATATAATACAATACATCTGCTGTCTTCGTCGTCAGTTCAATCAATCAAGCTTATCTTCGTCAAGCGAACTCGAGTTGTTTTTGCTTATGCACACGATTACATACATTATGCATGTATAGAAAAAGCGTGAAGCTCTTATACATATCACCCATTCAGTATACGTTGTATTCTAATGCTCGCTAAGAAAAAAGAAAAGGATTTAGAGATAGCGATGTGTTTGTTTAAACTAAACTTAACTAAATGAACATATTGAAATATAAATTCATTCGTGTACATGTAGGAAGTCAAACAGTATACATAATTACTAATCTTTCTTACGGAATGAGACGATGTCATCACCATACTTACTATATAAGCGTAGTAATACGTTTTATCTTTTGCGTGCCTCTTTGTCGACTGTTAACATGTATGTTCACGAGAGAAGAAGGCAAATCTGGAATATTCTTCAAAAAGATTATTTGAAGTGAAGTTATAAAAGAAAAAGAAAGAAAGTAAGTAAGTAAGAAAAGAAGAAGAAGAAAAAGAATGTTAATGTATTTCAATTGTTCATGATGGGGATACGTCGGCTTGTTCACAATGCGAAAATTAGTTCAATGAACAATAATGGTCTGAGATGAATGTAATATAAATACATTCATAGGTAGAAATATTATGTAAATGCTTAAAGGAACAAAGTGTTGCAACCAAATGATTATTATTTTCACGGCGTTTAAATTTTTTGTTTCGATATGTCGACTGCATATTCAGCTGATGCCTCGAACAATCAGTATTCTTCATTTATCTATACGATTAACATAAAGAGAAAAATGGCCATTATCCATCTGACACATTCTTTTTTTTTCTCAATTTTACATAAAAAGTCACTTGTAGTCCTTCGATGAACAACGAAATTCTTTTCACATAAGAATGTAAAAGGTCAATCAATAGTGAAAAAAAAATGAAGTATACATTAATGTGAAAAATACTTTTTGACAATACCCTGAAGATACTTTGTCCATAATCGTGTGACAATCACAATCTATTGAATGAATGGTTAATTTTTATCTTCCGCGAATCATTTGATACATATCTTAAAGAAATTTTTATAAAGAATAAAATCTTTGTTAATAGAATATGAAAAAAAAAATAACATCAAGGAAATTTAATAGAAGACAACAGCTGGATGCTCAGACAGTTTTGATTATGCATGAGATGATCAGTCATTTTAACAGACATATCAATATTAAAGTGTTCTTAAAGACATGAATCTTACAATGAATAAATTGATTTCATCATCAATTATACTCTTGTCTACTAGATGAATTATTTTTATCAACCGAAAAAGTGTATTGAATTTCTTTGATATCAAATTTTCATATGATTTAATATTATTTAACATGATCATCATGTAATTTTAAATATATAGATTACATTAGTTGCTTCAATGTCATTTTCACAAATATCGAGTGTTCTTTTTTCACGTATTAGAATTATTAAATATGTTTGAATAAGAGCGACAAGTATGATTAATAAGAAGTTTGAGAAGAAAAAAAACTAAATAAGATTTTAAGATGTATGTTTTAAGTAACACTGACAATGTTTTTAGTACACATAACAATGATGTAATATAGTAGACAGTAGAGAATATTTAAACATGTTATTCTTAATGATGTGTTTAGATCAATTTAAAAAAAAAACTTATTTTATTTGTGTTCTTTTCATTTGTTATTCCATTATTTTTAAAGTTATGTTTTCACTGAAATTTAGATACATTTAAGGTATAGTACCGCTCAAAATTGATCAGACACTTGACAAATGATCTTGTTTCTCTGTTATCTCAAGATGAGCTCAAGATATAGAGTTGTGACTTTTGCCAAAATGTAGACCAGTTGTCATAGTTTATTTGCTGAAAGTTTGGTCTTTCTGAGTCATATATTTGTAGTGCTAGACTAAAAATAGTAAAAATAAAGTCTTTTGATTTCGCTCAAAAATGATCATACACCCCACGCAAAAGTAAGTAAATATTGAGCAATTAAAATTTTCGCAATTCATCAGTCTGAACGAGAAAACACATTTCTAAAACATTTCAACGAAGTTACAGTTGAGTTTTCAGTTAAAACATGGGAAAAATGTGTCTTCTCGTTCAGACCGATGAATTGCAAAAATTTTAACTGCTCAATATTTATTTACTTTAGTGTGAGGTGTATGATTAATTTTGAGCGCCACTGAATATCAAATTGAAATTCTGTTTCTGTGTATAAATATATATCATTGCCTTTTATATTGCGCAATACATAAATTGAATTTATTGATAATAAAAATAAATCTTGATTTTAAAATAAAAAAATATGAACAGATATTCTTTTTTTTATTTTATGATTAATTGAAAGAAACTTTCAGGATCAGGACTGGCAACTCAAAAATTTACAACATGACAATGCTTTTTCTTTCCAAGAAAAATCTTGATTCAGTTTGCCATGGTTTATGATCCGATAAGAAGAATCTTTCATGACATTTGTTGTGACCTATGCGAAGATCATAATAACATTGCTATGTATGTCATAATATGAGTGAAGTAAACATTACTTCGTAGAATTTCAATACTGTTGCGATTGTGTTACACAGAATAATTAGATATTCATTCTTTATCGCTTGAAACAAGTCGCGTCGAATAATCTTTATCGTCTTTTTTCAAATTAACGTAGATAAATGAAATTAAGACAACAAATATTCGACTCAGATTTTGTTCAAAATAACAGATTACAAAGCTGTAATAATATTCATGAAACAACAATATAGCACAAGATTAATGAACATTAATTCATATCTATAGTGAGTTACTCATATTATCTAGAGGGATGCTCGATTTTGTTAAAGCATTTTATATTTTCAACATTCTCATCATTCAATATAGACAGTATTTTTAAATCGTTTCATTGAAAAATGCAGTTATAAGACAGGAAACTGTAATAGATTATCTTTAAAAAACCATGCAGTATTCAAAAAAAAAGATATTGTCGTTTTAACGAATGCATATAATTTATTTGAATTCATTCCGTAGAAGAATGTTCAAATCCTTTAAAATGTTATGTTTAAACTAGAATAAACATCAATTTAATCGATGATTATTTTCGTTTGACTGTTCCACTAGAGTTTTAAAGTTTTCGATGTATTCTTCATCATTCAGTTTTATCATATACATCCATTCTAATATGTCTACTATGCATTCTTCTGGTACCGTTCATTTCGTCGGTATGATAGATAGATGAATAACAGTTTTTAAGATCTTCTTCAAGGGGTTAGTGGAAAATGTCGAAAATGTAAACGTTCAAATACGAAAGGAAAGAAAGTTATGAGAAACAAATATATCGAATAATTTATTAGATGTCCGTAGAAAATTCGATATTTTTATTTGTATTGGCCATCCGTCGACCAGCGCATTTTATTCTTCTGTGAATGAAGAATTTTTTTAATAATAAATATATATATATGTTCTAAATGACCTTAACAACATGTTCTGTAAATAATTCATCTATCACTCAGAAGGTTGAAATATTGTTCGCTACATCAAATAAAGGCAAACCAGGGTGTGGGCGTGAGTTTTACCTTTTCTCATATCCACACCCACACCCTTATTTGTATTTTAGCTTATAATATTCGATTTGCAACTAAATTGTCAAGAAAGCACCCGAATATTTGGAGTTTTATACAATTAATTCAAAGTAAACATGTTCGTTTTGAACATATTTCAACACAACTTGATGCTGGTGCATCAGCATCACAGCAATCGAAAAAAGCAAAAGCTTTTCAGATGAGACATGATACTCTTCATGAGCGATTTCTAAAGAAGGAAATCAACGCAGATGAATTATTATCAGGTTTAGGATTGTTAACTGGAAACAAAAAGAAATAAAATTTTATTATATTGTCAGCATTGTCTTTTCTTTTTTATTTTACATTAATAAAACATGGCATTTCTTATTTATTATAAGAGTATAAATATGATCATTTCCATCTTTCTTTCAAGTTGTTTAAGCTTTCAACATTTTCCACCAAGATCTTCTTCAATATCAACAAAAAAATAATTATTTGGTACAAACTTTAACACTACTACATGTTGTGGTGGTAAATGAATAGGCAACATAGGATTAAGTTTAATTGAATCAATATATTCAGGATAATGTCTTATATCACATAAATAAACGTACAATGACAAATCTTTGGTAATTCCTATAAGATCATCATCATTGTTTATCCACCAATAATCAAATCCAAGTGCTTTTGTATGATCAATATGTTTCTTTCTGAAGGAATATTCTATTCTTTCAAAACATTCTTGTACGAATTTTAAAGCAGTATTTTTATCAGATAAAGACGCGTTTCATTTTATACTCAATGGTGTAAGATGAAGATCAGAAGCATAAGATAATGAGTGATCATTCACAGGATAGACAGGAATATTTATTTTATCATTTTGATTTGTTTGATAATTGTTTGCCTATTTATTCACATGATGAGATGAGTCATCAACACCTTCTTTTGTTTTCGTTCTTCTTGAATCGATTCGATAGTTGTTTGTTTTTCGAAGTTTATCGTTGTTGTATGACTCATCGAGTTGATCAACGTTATTAATACGTTGTTGCTCACCACGTTGAATTTTACGTTTTTGATAATTTTGATTTTTCTTCACTGTAGTAAATAGATTACTTTCATTATCGACAAATAAAATTGATTCTTCATTTTCACTATCGTGTTGGGTTTGTGATGTTGCTTGCCTTTTGATAGATCTCGTTTTTGGACTTTCATTGTTTGATTGAATCAATTTATCATGTAATTTTTGTAGGCAACGACCTTCAACACGATTTTCTTTGTCCACCAATGATTCATTATCGTAAAAACTGTAATTATCTGCCATTAAAGTTAATGACTATATATACCACAATCAGGTACACGTGACCTTTTCGATGTAAGAGATATTCGCGTCTTATCGATATAGTAGAAGAAGCAGAAATGAGCATATTTGTCTGAATCAAAGCTTTTATAAACAGAAGTTTCCATTTTTTTATTATAAACTTTTCGGCTGTTTTCATGTGCGAATCAATTTTTGTGTTCATTAAATTTCACGTCGGCCAGTTTTCGCATTTTCGATTCTCTTTTAGTTTACTGTATGAATCATTGTCTGTGAGAAGTAAGCAGCACTATGCTTTGCCATGAAGTGTTTTACTTTTTTTTCTATTTTGACAGTATTTAGATACGCTTTGTCGTTATGTTTTTATTTATTGAAGAAAAAAAAATCATTGATTATATTCTAAGTCTACAGAAAAGATTGAAATTTTCTGAACTAAGAAAAAAATTTCCATTTTTTTTTCACTTTCGATTTATTAATAGAAGAGTATGTCGATTATTTCTGACACAAAGAAGAATTATCCTGTTATAAGTAAATAAAATTATTGAATATGGTTGGATTTATGGATGTTTATGTGGTTCAAGCACATCAGTATTGTAATAATTTGCTCCACTCGCTGATGCACGACGAAAAAGATTTCGAAGTGGATCAAGAAAACTAGATGGGTCGGTGGTCGATCGTTGTCTTGTACACTCAAATACTTTAACTAATTCAAGTGATTTTCGAGTGAGTGCAGTTGATGGACGTAGTGGATGTGATTTATCAACCACTTGTACAATAATATTGAAATGAAGTGAATTGATTTTCTTCGTGATTGAATCTAATTGAAATTTAACATAATCCAGTTGAATTTCATCATCTAAACCTATTCGTGAAATAAAAGCATCAAGTTCGGCAAGACATTTGAGATTTGTTTGTTTGAATTGTTCGAGAGAAGTACGTAATTCATTAGCTAAATGTTTGACTTCTGTTTGTTTACGTTTTTCCATTTCATTAAGTACTTTATCAATTTGACGTGATGAAGATGTATCAAAACTTTGTCGCCATTTACGTACTTCATCAGAAGCTTTTTCTTCTATTGAATCAACTTCTAGTTGACATAGTTTCGAACGTAATGCATTTACTTCTTCTTTATACGATTCAGTAACTGGTTTTTGATCCATTGTTATTACTGTCTTTATTACCTGTTTTTTTTATAGCTAATATACAATTTACGTACGTGTGACGATGGTCACAAGTAAACAAATAGAGAATCATAACACGTGATAGCGAGAGAATGACAATAGCGCAGTTATTTACCTGCTACATAAACATAAATAGGCATAAGAAATGTATCAATATCTTAACTCAATCGAAATCAGAATTTTGTATTAAGACAACATAAAAAAGAAAGAATATGAAATTTGTGAGACGATCATTTGTAATACAATAATTCAAAGTAAAATTTAATTTCTGTAGAAGATATACTTATTCAAGGACAAACCTTTTTCTGAGCCCAGTTATCTTGATTAAAGTCTGAACAAAGCTTAAAAAAACCGTTTTCATTGTATTGAGTCCCGTTCAACTAAAAAAGAAACCTAAATTAAAATAAATAGAAATCAATTTGAAAATAACTCAATATTTTATTAATTTGAATCGTAATATATTGATCTTAGTGACAGAAAACAAACATCATAACATTTTTAGTTGTCTACAAAAATAACAATTGCTATCATGGATACTATTTGATGAATTTGTAACTTGTTCATATGTTATTCGACTCTTTACAGTACCTATTCCATGTACTTATAAAACAACTTTAAAGACCTATGCCTGTAAAAACTCTACTTTGATTATTATTACGCTTTATTTGATTCAGAAACATTCTAAGATTTAAGAAAACGATGTGAGCGATTGAAAAAAGCGAGAATAAATTTATCTTGGTGGTTTCATTTCTTTTATATACACGTAATATGGATGATGTATATTAAATTAGACAACATCATTTTAGTTTGTTGAGTCATTTCGATACACATTCAGAAAGTCATTCCATAAAAAACGTTCTATTCTACAAAACTATTTCGTTAATTTTTTAATTAAAGTTTTCTTATTGAAGCAAAATTTACAATACTACTGCACATTCAATCGTCTAACTATGAATTTCAATGTTCTTTTTCCATTTCTATGACTTTTTAAAGGTCTCTAATGCTCTCATTCATGGGCATAAAAAGCACTGATATTTTTCTCTGCATGTCGAAAAAGTATCTTTTTTCAAAGCGAGACTTAGTGTATGAAATAGCTATTCTTGCGCTGTCGGAAGTAGAATTTAATTCCGAACAAAATTTTGTTCTTGTTGAGTTGAAGAGAACAAACTATGAAGTGGTAAAGAATAATCATTTCATCTTGTTAGACTAGGCTTTTCTCCAGTGATCTTTCTGCATGATTATTTTCGCAAGTTTATCTTCTGAAGTTCTTAAAAATATAACAAAAGATGTAGAATTTTATGAAGCATTTGGTGACATGCTTGCCATTTCATCCACTATAAAAAATGTTCATATTTTTGAGACTGTCACTCTTGTTTTTGAATGTTTCAGACAAACACAATAATGTAAAGAGTGTCTAATAAGTTATGAATCTCAATGAAAACCAGTTTATATGTTAAGAAAGCGTATCTCTTTTAATAAGAAACATAAACACAAAAGAAAGGTAATACTTAGTGCGTGAGCCAGAACTTCCGCTAGGCCACACCCTTCTGGCTTCGTCTGGCTCAGAATGCCTACAAGCCAAACTAAGGCAATTGATGTTTCTGGTTTTTATAAATACGTTTAATTCTAGAACTCTATGTTTATATGTCGTCTAGTTCCAATTGTTCACTTAATCAGTTTCCATAAAAGATGAGTTAATATTCGTAAAATCGAAAAGAAATAAACGCAATCTTAATAGTACAAGCAAAATTTCATTAGGCTTACAAGGATGAGGTAAACTGAAATGTAGGAAATAAAGAATATTAATATTTGACAATCAATGTTCGCAGCAGTGTGAGCGCAAACTTTACCATCCAATTGTTTTAGATCTAAACAAGTTCTTCTATCAATCAATATAAGTTCTACGACACTAGAATGACGTTCGGTTCAAGCATTTGTTGCGGGATTCGAATGAATTCGTCAAACTACTCTCGAATAGTAAGACGATGCGTCAACATTTGATGTCCAAAATGTAAGATTTAGATCAACGACTTTAACTTGGCAGATAGCTTTGATTTAGGTACAGAAAATAGTTACACGCACACTCTAGATACTACATATCACTTTGTATAATTATATCATGTTACATGTGATGAATTCATAGTTCATTAAAATTTCTTGGGAAAATACTGGTTGATTTCAAGATTTTAATTATCATGTTTCTTTTGTTTATATCACTATCATTAGAAGAAACAATGTCATCCGATAATGCAACATTTCAAACATCTTCCTAAGTACTCGAAATTCATATAGATGTAGTTCGACAAGGATCATTCTTTGAGTACATAAAAATTAATTTTTGTTGAGGTTCATCACTTTTGGAACATCCATCACAATGCTTATACAACATGACATCTATTTAATCAAATAGATTTTCAATATGATTATTTTTTCTTATTTGAGCCAGGCTACAAACAGTAATCATTCATCAACAAATATTCTTGTTATAATTCGATTCGATTCGATTCGATTTAGTAAGACATCTATCATTTAAATATTTCAACGGTTAACTTTAGACAAGCTAGATAATCAATGGATGTATTCCAATAAGATCTCTTTTGCAGTTTTTATTTAACATATATGATGTTTCGATCACTATTTCCTGTGACTAATTTGATTTTTCATCGTAATAAATTATTATATCATCATCGATATGTTGCTGATTTTATTTCTCCAAAATTGTTTCATCAAACAAATCAAGCCTTATCATCATCAACAGACACAAATGAATGGCTTTGGGAATATTTACGACATCGTCAATCATATCAATCATTAAATGATGAACAAAAACGTCAAGTAATTTTACTTGAGTAAGTCATTATATTTATATATATATATATTTTTATTTCAATAAAAATAAAAAAAATTGAATTTCTAGAATTCAAACATTACGTGAAAGTGGTGAACGTGTACCAGATGATATTCCCGATGAATATTGGCCAGAATTAATCTCATCTCCATTATTAAATAATCGTAAATCAATATATAATTATCTGTTTCTACGTGAAATAAGTAAACGAAAACGTGCAGCTGAAAAAGCTGCTCTACAAGAACGACGTATTAAATCAGCTGCACGTCATGTTGAATTAGCTGCTGCTGGTCTACCATTAACAAATTATCCTGGTTATACATCAATGTTTCGTCAATTAACAGGTGGCCATACAGAACGTTGGATACGTGATAATAAATTAATAGCTCAAGCACGTCTTGGTGAACATATTCTTGTTGATTGTGGTTTTGAAATAGAACATGCTCGTTCCAAATATGTATCAAAATTAGTTGATCAAATTGAATATTTTTTCGCTAATATACATCAATATCATTCACCATCATTTGTAACATTATGTAATTTTGCAACTGATGGACAAATTCAAAAAGAATTTGCTAGACGTATTAATCAAAATCGTGGTGTATCATGTTTTGAAGTTACTGAAGCAAGTTATTTAGATTTATTTGATAGGCAAAAATTAATTTATTTATCACCACATAGTCAATATGAAATGTCTGAGTATGATCATGATGCTGTATATATTATTGGTGCTATTATTGATAGTAGTAAGTAATATGTTATCAAATCTCGTTTGTTGGTATAATACATTTATTTAGGTGTTGGTGGACGACCTTTAACATTATCAAAAGCTAAACGAGATAATATAAAACATCAAAGATTGCCGTTAGAACGATATTTAAAGTATAATGAACATATTTACAAAATATGAAAAGAGATTTGTTTTTTTTTGTGCAGATTTGGTAGTAGTGCTAGTCGAACATTATCATTGGACAAAA